GATAAAAAGTGTTTTACTGCCTTTTGATCTTGACTAGCTTACTCTTCTCTGTCTCTCAATTCCTTCACCTCAATGGAAGGTACACTCAACTGTAGTGCAGTGTTTTGAACCTTGACAACTTAGCAAGCTTGCTATGGGACTTCTAGGAATTGAAGCCCACACATCTTAAAGTTGCCAAGGTTCAGAAACACTGTTGTTGTGTTGCCACTGGATAATGTGTGAAGCATGTTCACCAAATGTGACATGAATTAAGCCAGTTTTCTGTTAAATGATTCCTGTCTCAGATGTAATTGAACTTTCCTGAATGAACTGCTTTCATTATGAAAGTCTTCATTTCTCTGCATCACAATTTCAGTAGTCACTGACCTGGGTCAAAAGATCTTACAACATAACTCATAATGTCACATCCACTGAGGAAGATATTTTCAGCCATGTTTCTATGGTGATGGAAACACATGCTCTGCTCTAAACCTTTCACTGGAAAAGTACAGAAAGTATGTTTAAGTGGTTAATTTATTAAAGATTAACTGCTGGATGTCTTATAATCAAACCAGTGTTTTTTCAATACAGTTTGCCTGTCTGAAAGTATCTTTAAATGCTTTATATATTACATGTTAATGTATACCTGTAGCATATTTTATTTTTCTATATCTAAAACTAGAGTTCAGGGCTAGTCTGAACTCCTGTGGAAATATGAGCATACTGCTCTGTATAAACTAACTAAACTACTTCATTGATTTTATTGAACTGCCTTTATACATTTTCTTAAGGATTTGTGTATGCGAGAATGATAGTGAAGAAAATTGTTAACTACTCTGCTACCTTACCACTGTGTACTTAAGCAGATGGCTCTAGGCAGTGGTTGGATTCAAATAATTTAAGAACCGGTTCTCTGCTCTAATGATTTCTTCCAACAACCAGTTCACCAAACTGCTCAGAAAGTTAACAACTGGTTCTCCCAAAGTGATGCGAACTGGCTGAATCCCACCACTGGCTTTAGATCAGTGGCTCTCAACCTAGACAACTTTAAGAGGGGAGAACTTCAACTCCCAGAATTCCTCAGCTAACCAGACCTAATGTGAAAATTCCTGAAATGTGCATGCAATGCATTTAATTAGTCTAAGACAGGGCTGTCAAACTCCCAGCCTGCAAGCCAGATGCATCATGCGCTGGCCATGCCCACACCCAGTTTAGTGAAGGGGGGGGGAGAAAGTCCTGATACGTCTCATGTGATGTCGCCATGACATGAGTTTGACACCACTGGTCGAAGATATTATAAAAAGATACAGGGGTTGCCACTAAAAAGAGGAAGTCAAGCTATTCTCCAAAGCACCTGAGGGCAGGATAAGAAGCAATGGGTGGAAACTAATCAAGGAGAGAAGCAACCTAGAATTAAGGAGAAATTTCCTAACAGTTAGAACAATTAATCAGTGGAACAACTTGCCTCCAGAAGTTATGAATGCTCCAACACTGGGAGTTTTTAAGAAGATGTTGGATAACCATTTGCCTGAAGTGGTATAGGGTTTCCTAACTAAGCAGGGGGTAGGACTAGAAGACCTCCAAGGTCCCAACTCTGTTATTCTATTCTATCCTATTCTATAAGTAGAAACTACTGTAATTATTTTAGAGGTTTGTGCAAAGCATTCCAGATGGATTATTTGAAAAGCCGGTGAGCATGAGCAAAGCTTGTGTCCTCCAAGGGTTAAAATAGCTTGAATGCTTTCTCTAGAATGCTTTCTCAGCTGCTTCACAGCTGTCTGCGCATACATGAGCATAAACAACTCTTCTGCCAGGATCATCAATGAAATGAAGGGGCTGTATGCACACATGCAGAAGAGACAGCTGAGGGCAGCCTTCTAAAGAGTGTTTAGAAGACTATGTAGTCTTCAAAATACATAGTACAGTTCTTTAAACTGGAAGAAGAGGTGCTATCATGATTTACAAAGCCTGCCTTTCTAAAGGTCCTGTACAGACCATTTACATTTTGTCTCACTTAGCCTGCCCTGTACCTGGTATCTAGTATTGTCAGTCTTTTGTACGAATAATTACAATTAAATATAAAATGACTTGTGAATTGTAAAGAAAGCAAAAGCAAATTAACACCTGGACATTTTTTTTTCAGGGTTTAGTGCCTCACTTCCCATTATATGCACGCTAAATTTTTCTGCTGTGTCAACTGCTCTCCGGGATTTTAGAAAAATGGACTCAGTGATATCATTAGAGCCATCATTTGCATTTTCAAACTAAAATAAAATATGAAACCATGAAATTCCAAAAAGAAAAATCCTATGGGGCATACCCAATGCTAGTAAATATAGATAGTAAAAGCTAATTATTTGTATATTTTTTATGAATGTTTAGGAGACTATTTCTTCTCCATTTCAGTCCTGTCCTATATTCAGAAAAGGTTTACCACTTCAACTGCAATCATTAGTGTGTACTGAGATTTGCACAAGGACAGTGTGTTGTATTTCCAGTGATAGGGAGGAATACATGTGACTTACTTATAAGGAACAGAATATTTATAAACATGTTACCAAAATTTTCATCAAGGATGCAGAAATTTTCAACTTACTTACTAGGAACTATGCCTTGCAGAACATAGCATGATTCTTGAATACAATATTCAAACAAAAAATTGTGGACATCAAAAATGTATGAATGGAATTAGAATAAGTAACGTTTATTATTCCTTCAATAAATTATTGCCATCTTAAAATCCCCTTTCTCTAAAAACAAGGTAGAAGTATCAGTTATTCTACATTAGAGAATGTTGTATAAACAGAGCTGGATAACAGACATGGAATGGAGCCCAACTCAGCAGTCCTGTTATAAGGAATGAAGCTGACAAGGCAATTCTCTTCGGAGCTAGAGACAACTATTCTCTTATGTCAACAAAAACTAGGTGCTTTTCAAGATTCTCAAGAAAATGGCAAGAATTTATTGGTTCGGAAAAAAAGGGAGAAAAAAGCCTAGACTGTAAAATCTTGATTATAAGTCTATATATATGCTTTAATTTCTGTGCTCTGCAGTAGGTAGGTCTTTTGGGTGTATATGGCTTCATTCTTGTCTGCAATAAAGAAGTTAATCTTATCCAGGTGCCTGAGAGCCTTTTCCTGAATAAACCAATTTCTGAATAAAGGATTATGTTTGGAGAATTAAGATTAAGAGCTGAGCTTCCTGCAAAGCCTGATATATGCAGTACATCCTAATGTATACATTGTAAATTCAAATAAATATCTCAAACATCCTTTGTTATGGTTGTGGAGATTTCAAAAATGACTTAGAAGGGCTACATACTTCACACAAGCAGAGCAGATCTCAGCTATACATTAACCTAGCTTTTGTCAAGCTTCTATAATTATCTGGGAGAATGGTACCCATGCTTTAATAGTAGCAATAACTTTAATGCATAGGTTCTGTAAAGCCTAAGCACATTTCTTTTAGGTTTTCATACAAGCCAGCCAAAAATGAAGCTACTTAAACAAGTAGCAGAGAAGTATTGCAATTTTTATTTGCATAATGTCTGAAGTGCTTCTTATGAATTATACAAAATACAAGGGTGCTTGAGGAATTGGAAGAGAGGAACAGAGAAGAGCAGCAATGATGATGGGAGACTTGGAAGCTAAATTTTATGAAGAATTGTTAAAAGGATCATTGTCAAGGGTGGGTTCAACCTACCTTTACTTCCGGTTCGCAACGGGGCCGCGTGCGCGCGCTTGCTTCACTTGTGCGCACGCGGGCTCTTCTGCACATGCGCAGAAGCATTTTGATGACATCGGGGTCGGTGGGCAGAGCCTCCCGCCGGTTTTACTACCAGTTCTATAGAACTGGTGCGAACTGGGGGCAACCCACCACTGATCATTGTGTATGTTTAGCCAAAGAAGAGAAGACAAAGGGAAACCCCATAGTTGTCTTCCGATACCAGAGGAGTCGTCACAGAAAGAAGAGTATGGATTTATTCGCAGTGCCTCATGAATTAATAGGTTGAAGCTTTACACAAACTCAAAATCAGTAATTTCCTGGCCATGAATACTATTAAGGAATGGAACAGCCTGCCTCCTTGAGTCTTGAGTGTTTCATCACTGGAGATTTTTAAACAAAGGTTGGGCAGCTACTTCTCTGGGTTGATCTGAAGATTCCTTTTTTAAATAGGAAGTTGAACAAGAAACCTCCAAGTGTTTCCAACCTTATGGTTTTTTTAATATATTTTTTTTAAGTCTGTTCAACTTCATTATTCTTTACTTCTCCATTTTTCAGAGGCTATAGCAAGTGCAGCTACACTAAACAATAACTGTATCATGATCACTCCAAATAATTTCTTTTTGAATTATTATATTATGCAACATACCAGAAGCAGTAAAAATCTTACATTATGTCTGAGGAGAAACAGCTTAGCCTTAAAGTCAATACACAGTTGTAAAAGCTTGTGGGTGATTTTTGGCCAGTCATTATCCCTAAGTCCAAACTACCCAAAAAACGGAATTTGGGGGGTAAATTGCAGAGATTTTTAAAAGATTTTTTCCATCCTGCCTTTATTATTTTTATAAATAACTCAAGACAGCAAATGTAGCTAATACTCCTTCTTCTAATCATTTCCCCTAATACAATAAACCTATGAGATGGGTTGGGCTGAGAGAGAGTAGCTCAAACTCACCCAGTCAGGTTTCATGCCTAAGGTAGGACTAGAACTCCCAGTCTCCTGATTTATAGCCTATTGCCTTAACCACTAGGCCAAATTGGCTCTATTTACATGGAACTTCTAGGGAAAAAAGGTAGTATAATTATGTATCTCTGTAACAACAGAAATATAACTATACCTACTGAAAATTTTAAAAAAAATCTCTGCAACAGCTACAGCTTCTATAATTAGCACTCAATTGTCAACATTTCCAAAGATGTAGTGTATGGCAGGGTTTTTAGTCACACCCAGGAAAGTGATAAGCTCTGACAGAGCTAAAAATATGAAGCTGCTTGAGCTGATCAACTAGTAGGCAAGAGGAGAAACAGCTAGCAAGACGGCATTATCTCAGGATTCCGTTGTGTTCAAAGAGATTATCAGCACTATCTCATCAATGGAAAAAGTTGTTCTACGTCATCGGGTGGAAACTCCAATACGGTATCAGGAGCATTTTTCTGATCAAGATTTGGAAGCCTGCAAATTAAACCACTCCTTGTTTGCATTGCCAAGTCCAGCATGGCCAGCGCAGATAAGGAACATTCGTGCATCCAAGAGTGCGGCTGAAACAGAGCAGAAAAGCCCAGATGAAGCAACCCCCAGATTTCAAGCCTTACTAGATGTAGTGCAGTTTCGTCCTGAAGATGTCATAATACAAGTCTTCGAAGGGTGGCTGCTAATCAAAGCTCAGCATGGACCCAGGATGGATGAACAGGGCTTTGTAGCCAGAAGCTTCACTAGGCAATATAAATTGCCAGATGGCGTTGAAATGAAAGATTTGAGTGCTCTCTTCTGTCACGATGGCATTTTGGTTATTGAAACTAAGACATTTGGCAGTCAATAAATTCTTGACCGTCTTGTTATGGGTGAGACAATCTTATTCCTCCTTCTGATGTTGAATATGTGTATTTGGAGTTAAAGCAAGCTTTCACATACTTTTATTCAGTTTGTTGCGGGGGGGAACCATTTGAGGAGCTTGTTTGCATGACGTGAGAGACAATATTTTTATCCTTACAGCTGCATGTATACTGTCAGACACGCTTAACAAATGTGACAAAATAGAGAAAGCTGAAAAGGAAACAAGGCAGATGTAAAATGACATATAGGATCTACAAAAGAGAATGAAAATGGAAGGCCTCAAAGAGAATGAAAATGGAAGGCCTCAAAGAGAATGAAAATTTAAGGTCTCAAAGCTTTATACTGAAGGGAAAAGTTACAAAGGCTTTCATTAAATGGTCTGCTGTATAGGTTTTGCTGTAAAGCAGTTCATACTCTTGAAGAGACATGGCTGCCAATCTAAACATTGCTAAACAATCCCAAATATAGGCAAATACTTATTATTCATTGCATGTAACAATTCAGCTTCAAAGAATGATTGTTTCCGCCAAATATTTTTTTGTATGTGTTTCTTTAAAAACTTGACTATTCTGCTTTTGGTAGATAACAGCTGTTTAAATTTGACTGCCTTTTTTCCAAGCATAGTTATTATGATAAGCATGATCGCCATTCTAAGTATAGTCAAAGAATTCAGAAAAAGATCCAAGCTAAATACAGGCTTTTATTAGAGGCATATTTGGGAACTCTGAATTGCAGCAACTTTGTTCTATGTTTTCAGAAGACCAAGTCTTGATCTAGAAATTCTGATCAAAGAGTTCTACCAACACCAGCTATAGTTTCTGTTAGATGATTTCTTGGGAGAGTGGAAAGCAGAAAAAAACTTTTAAGAAATTCACAGTTCCTTCTCTTAGAGATGATCAGTATGGATACAGGGCTGACTGGAAATTTATTTTAAATGAGCAATGCCAGCAATCTGATTGTTCATTAGAATCCTCTTGCCGTTTCCACTTAATTTCATGGCTTATATTTCAATGGAATGATAAATAAATAGGTATACCTTTTACCATATGACGATCCATTGGCTGGGCTTGGCCAAAAGAAAGTTGAATTTCATTTTACTTAAGAACATTTTGTATACCTTCCCCACTTTACTTATACATTTACAGATGATATTCTAGATGTGCACTTAGGATGACAGTTGTATATTTAGACCAGGGGAGGGTTCTACTTACCTTTACAACCGGTTCGCAATGGGGCTGTGCGCACACATGCGCAGAAACTTCCTGATGATGTCGGGGTCGGTGGGCAGAGCCTCCTGCCGGTTTTACTACCGGTTCTTGCAAACCGGTCCGAACCAGGGGCAACCCACCACTGATTTAGATTGTAGGATACCATACAAGAAAAAAAATCACCCTGGTGTGTTGAACAAAAACAAGCCCAAATCAATATGGAAAATGGATCATCATCATCATCTCCTTTATATTAATAGAATCTTTACATGCCTTGTTTCTAAATCTGCTTTTAAAAAATAATATATGGCTACTTGGACACACTTAGACATATAATCTGCTAATTAATATCAATTATTATAACATATGTAATATTGTTGGAAACATTATGCAGAATTTATGTTTAGAAATAAGGCTTGTATTTCTGAATGTTGCCAAGGGCAAAATTGCTACATAGTCAGCAATGCTTTTGTAATTAAATGATGTACTTGTTTACAAATATGTCCAGCTTCTAAGACTCTAAATGATAGTAAGATAGTTATTGACAAAACAAGAAACATATTGTATGATTTATAGTTAGGTTTTTCTTCCAATTTCATTATGTCTAATGTTTCGCTGATATTTTATTTCTGTATTCTATTTACTATACATTGTGATTATTTCTATAATTTGTTACAATCTCATAATACTGGACTGATCTCAAAGCATTTTAAATATTTTAAAAGGACATTTAAAAGTATAACTATTGCATGTGACAAGTTTGTATTCTGTTAAAATACAGAGATATAAGAGATGTGCAGAAATCTACTAATATTGTTTATGAACAGTATCATGTTATGTTACCATGTCATTGCATGATATATATTTCTTTACCAAATTTATTAACATCCCCTTCTCCATAGTGACTCATGGTACTTCAGAAACCAGGTGTCTCAGAGTGATAATCAACACTCTGATCTGCATTTAGAAGCAAGAGAACATAAATGTTATGATGGTTTGCCCTTAACTGCCTGGGCTGTTCATTTCAAAGTAGCTGCAGCTTCCATATAGTTTTCAAGGACAGCTCCAAGTAGATTGCATTACAAAAAGTACAAGGTACCTATTGCACAAGGTAACCAAAGCATGAGTAACTGCCCTGAGTCCTTCTGGATCAGAAACATCACAGCTGCCATCTCACATAATGCGACACAGAAATATACTTTTGAAGCGGCATGTTAAATTTCTTCAACTGGTTTGGGCATAAATAAAATCCACATTTCATTAACTAAATTAAAAGAAGATTTGTATAAGAAGTCACAAAAACCATTCTATAAATACAAAATTATTTCTCAATCTGAAATTTTAATGTTCTCTTTTGGCAAAGCTCACCTTGCATCTATTATTACCTTTGTTAAAAATGTAAACTTTATGAACAGTGAAATATCAGTTCAAACCATCCAGAGAAAAATATGTTTATCATGAATAAGGAACTCAGCTCCAATCCTATTCAAATACAGTAGGAGATTTTTTTTAATATCATTTCAAAGAATTACTTCCATATCAGCAATCAATTCAGTCCTATTTAACCCCTTATCTCAATTCAGAAAAGTACCATACTTTTCTGAGTATAAGACACCCCCCCCCAAAAGTGGGTGGAAATGTCTGTGTATCTTATACACCAAATGTTGCCTGCCCGCCAGCCCCCACCCTTCGGCCGTTTTCAGCCTCCGTGCATCACATTTTTGGCCTCCCCACGTTCCATTTTAGACCTGTTCCAGGCTGTGGGGATCCTGGCTGAAAATGCAACATGAGGAGTCCAAAAATGGGGCGTGCAGAGGCCAAAAATACAATGCGCAGAGGTGGTGATGTACTGTGGTGATCCCCGAGCCTGGAATGAGTCTAAAACAGAGCGTGCGGAGGTTGAAAACGTGATGTGTGGAGGCCAAAAACGCCACATGCGGAGTCCGCAATAAGCTGTGGCGATCCCCACAGCCTGGAACAGCTGATTGGTGGTATTCCGAAAGGCCGATCCAACGCCAATCAGCTGCTCGTGCTGAATCAGGCTGCAATAACGTGCTGAAGCTAAGCAGGCTGTTTGCTGATTGCTGTAAGGACGCTAGCCAGATGAATACCGATGGATGCTGGTAGGCAGAAGCAGGATTTTTTTTTCTTGTTTTCCTCCCCAAAAACTAATGTGCGTCTTATACTCTAGAGTGTCGTATACTCTGAAAAATATGGTAAACAGTCTCCAAATTGATTCAGGTTAATTTGATTCAGAGATTTGATCAAACTGACTTTGAATGTAGTCTCCAAAACAATGATATGAAAACTATTTTCATCCTATTTACCTGTAAGTAATTTTAATTATGAGTCAGTCTGGTGTAGTGGTTAAGGCATCAAACTAAAAACCAGGATACTGTGATTCTCCCCCCCCTCCTTCCCGTTAGGCACAAATCCATCTGGGTGACCTTGGGCCAATCGCTTTCTCTCAGCCCTAGGAAGAAGGCAATATCAAACCATTTCTGAAATCTTGCCAAGAAAACTGCAAGGACTTCTACAGGGAATCTATAAGATTCAGACATGATTGAAAAGCAGATTTTTACAAAATTAAGTCACCACTCATTGTTATATGGCAGCAATTTTGCAGAATTGTATATAATTCTTGAGCAAAAGTGCTGGGTCACAGAGTGTACCATTACTGCTTTTAGCTTTTTTATTGTTGTTGTTTTGTGAACTTGAAGTCTTTGCAATTTTGGTGGTCCTAGCCTAGAGCCAGCCCTGTGGTGTGACAAGCTAAAGATTGCAAGTTGTATCACGAAAGATTTTATTCTGCAGTATATTTATATATATACTGCATTTTAACCACTGTGCCATAGTGGCACAGTGGTTAGAATACAGTACTGCAGTCTACTTCTGCTGACTACCAGCAATTTGGCAGTTCGAATCTCACCAGCTCAAGGTTGACTCAGCCTTCCATCCTTCCAAGGTTGGTAAAATGAGGACCCAGTTTGGTGGGGCAATGCACTGACTCTGTAAACCGCTTAGAGAGGGCTGTAAAGCATTGCAAAGCGGTATATAAGTCTAAGTGCTATTGCTATTCGATTTTGCCTAGTTATGAGGCATGCTTGGTGAAACTTTTACATTTTTTATAACCCTGAGGACAAATCTGGAAATAGGTTGAGAAGATTTGCCTCATACTTAAGGTGACCAGACGTCCCGCTTTTGGCGGGACAGTCCCGCTTTTGAGCAATTTGTCCCGCGTCCCACGGCGTTTCAAAAAAGTCCCGATTTTTCTTGAGCCCCAGCTGATGGCTAGAAGAAAAAAAAACTGTTTAAACTCTTGCCCGGGGCTTCAAAGGGCCGCCCTACAGGCAATCAGTGTAAAGCAGTTTTTTTTTTCCCCTAGCTAAGCTTCAGAAACGAAACCGAAACCAGGGTCTTTGGTGCAGCGTGACAAAATGAGGCAGAGAGAGATTTATTTTTATTTTTATTTTTCCTCCCCAAAAAAGGTAGGTGAAAAACTGCAAACAATGGGAAATTTAGGAGGAGAGTTCAAGATTTTAAAACACAAAGGAAAAAAAGCTGTATTTAACTAGGGAATTGTAATAATTGAGATACTATTAATTGTATATTGTGTTGAAAGCAGAAATGGTTAAGTTGTGGTTCGGAGGAATATATGGGAGAAATTATTTGGTTTATTATTATTGGTAAATATAATTAATTGATTTGTAAGAAATTGGATTGCATGGAAATAATTGGAATATTCATGTTCATATTGATTAATATACAAAAAAGATAGTTTTATAACTAATTGATTT